CCCCCCCCCACGCAATCCCAGGTGCACCTTGGTTCCCATCGTACCGCCTTGCCGCACGAGAAGGAGCGCGAGGTGGCGGCGTTNACGACGAGTTTATGGCGTACCAAAGGTTGAACGAGATGTGGTGCGACGGTCTTGCCGGGAAGATAGCAGCGGCGGAGGCGCGAGAGCAGGCGAAGCACGAGGACGCGGAGCGCTTGGCGAAACGGGAGGCTGCTCTGGCTGCTGCGGCGAGGAAGCAGGAGGAGGAGCGTGCGGCTGTTCTGGCGGAGCGTGAGGCGTATCTCCAAGCGGCTAGGGCGAAGCAGGGGGCGCTCCGATCGCGGCTGAAGGAGCTGGAGCCCCGCCACCAGGACCCGCGAGCAGCCCCCCACCCCCGTCGCCGTGTTATCTTTCCCCCCCCCACGCAATCCCAGGTGCACCTTGGTTCCCATCGTACCGCCTTGCCGCACGAGAAGGAGCGCGAGGTGGCGGCGTTTCCGACGAACGAGCAGGAGCGGAAGAGGACAGCGACTCCGGAGTTTTCGGTGACTTTTGGTCTTCCGGCTGGTGCTGAGACGGGGCATCGTTTGCGGCGGCAACCACGGTGTACGAATTCCACGTAGGAGATACAGCGTTCCTGTCCCGCCAGTTGGAGATGCCTGAAGAAGATGTCACCTTCCACGACGAAGATAAATTGACAGCTCTTTTTGCATGGGCTGGCATCAAACAACTTGTCCGTGCACAATTCCCCCCACCGCACACCGTTGCTTTCGGGCACATCTACCACACACCGTACCTCGCGAAACTTCCGCCTTCTTCGCGGCAGTCCGTGTTCCAGCTGTTGTTCGCTCTCCGTCGTGCCACCTTTCATGAAGGTCCTCAAGGAACGTCGGTGGTGACCCAGGAGGGAGGACTCCAGCTGCCTCTTGCTCGTGCTGCTTCGACCAACGACTTCAAGCACGATCTACAAGCCCCCCGGCAGGCCTCTTCACGCCCAGCACATGGTTCTGGAGAAAACAAGGATTTCGGTAGGTCGGCGGCTCCGGTGTCCAAGAGCTGGAAGAACCGTTGGGGCGACCGGGATTCGACGGCCAAGAGCAGGACGGACGACCACCACCGCTTCACCCAGTCTTCGCGAGGGCGCGGCGTCGGAGATAACAGGCGAGGGCGAACCGTGGGGGCCCAGCCTACGAGCGTCGTCGAGTGTAGCGTAAAAGGATGCCATTCTTTGGCTTTCAAACTTGCCAACATGCAACTTCGTGAACGTGCAGCCGCTGTGAAAAGCCATGCCCCTGCCCATGCCGTTATGGATCATCCCACATCTTCCTTGCCTTTGGACGAACCTGTTGAGTCACCACGCCATNAACGTTCAGCCGCTGTGAAAAGCCATGCCCCTGCCCATGCCGTTATGGATCATCCCACATCTTCCTTGCCTTTGGACGAACCTGTTGAGTCACCACGCCATGCTGCATCACACGCCTCGACTTCGGCCTCCCGTACTGAAATGCTGTTGGAACAAGTACTCACGCTCCTGCGAGCAAATCAAGTAGTGGATGCTGCTGCTGACGCGAATGTACAACCTCCTGTGCCCCCCGACGCTCCTAGCGTGCCACCACCTGCCCCATCTTCTTCCCCACCAACGCGTCCGACACCGATGCAAGACCACGCTTCGAGCTTTTCGGGAGCTCCTGTGGGACGCGATGTTCGTGCCGAAACCGCTGCCAGGGCCACGCCAGCATCATCGTCATCAGCCACGAGGTCGGCGACAGTACCGGTCGAGCCTGCGGTGGCACAGTCAGCGTCGACAGCCCCAGCCCTGTTGCAACAGCCTTTGGTGGTATCGCCCCCCCCCCTCCCGCGTGCGTCTGTTCTGATTGATCCTGACTCTGCAACCGGCCACATCGTCGAGCCACCGAGTCAAGCGGCATCACCGGTGCCACAGGACGATGCTGGGTTGCCTTTGTCTTCCACGGCAGCGAGAGCGAGACAGTAGGCTCTGCACGCTGCGGACGCCGCTGCAGCGGAGGCCGACACCATCCGCATTCCAGACAAGATGGACAAGCTGAAGCCGGAACAACTTGATAGTGTCACACGCTTGCCCCTCGGTCCTGATCCTGATGAATTGCTCGCTTCGCGTCTAGCTGCAAGGTTGCGGTCACAGAGATCCTCAACAAAAGCGACGTCAAGCGCAAGCAGACTTTCAATTCCTCCACCTGGGTCACCGGATGCCTTCCGTTGTTGCGCAAACGTGTCCGTGCTGCTGTCGTTGAAGGCCAAACCACGAACCGTGCCACTCTGGAATTTCTTGATGCCCCCTTCCTACAGGTAGAAAACCATCTGCGCAAGGAACCGGCAGGGCCCTCGACGTACGCCTTCTTCATCCAGAAATTGGCGGC